TCCTCTCTGCACCTCCCCCCAATCATTCCTCCCATCCAAAATTCGTAACCCTCTTCATGCACAAATTCCACCCCCACCTGCAAAAAATGCACCCCGCAAAAATCTTCTCCCCTTCTAGCACAGCCACCTCTCCCCAGCAAAATCCCCCCCCCCCCCCACCATTACATAGTGCAATCTTCACACTTCAGGTCAACTTGGCTCCCTCCACGCCAAGAGAACATCCCTCCTCCCGAGCTCAGTCCCCTGTTGTGTTATAATACACGTTACAGCAGAGAAGGAGCCTACGGGAAGCTCCTTGCTCCTGGCTCTGAGGTGTATTAATGTGACAGGAAGCTTGCATCTCTCCCCGTTGACTGCCACAATAACAGAAGGCAGAAGCAAAATCAGAATCCAGGCCAGGGTCGATATCAGAAAGGCAGAAGAGGCACAATCCAAAGTCAACAACAGGAGATTATTATTATTATTGTTATACAGGATTTATAAAGCCATGGCCAAAAATATTAGCACCCCTGCATTTCAGTCAAATAATGCACCACTTCACCCAGAAAATTGTTGCAATTACAAATGTTTAGGCATTCTCATGTTTATTTCTTTTGTTTGTATTGGTATGACACAAAAAAGTGGAAAAACAAAAAGTCTAATCTGACACATTCCACGCAAAACCCCAAAGATGGACTGGACAAAATTATTGTCTCCTTCTCAAAATTGAAAGCAATAATTTTATTCCAAGTTTGTGATGTTCCTGTAATTTGTAATTAAACTCACCTGTATCAATTAACAGGTGCTGACAATATAGAAATCACACCGGCAACCAGTTAAAATGGTCAAACATTGACTCTGTTTTGTGTCTCTCTGTACCACATGAAGCATGGAGAAAAGAAAGAGCAACAAAGGATTGTCTGAGGATCTGAGAACAAAAATTGTGGAAAACATGGACAATCTCAAGGTTATAAGTCCATCTCCAGAGATCTTAATGTTCCTGTGTCCACTTTGTGCAACATTGTCAAGAAGTTTACAGCCCATGGCACTGTAGCTAATCTCCCTGGACATGGGAGAAAAAGAAAAATTGATCAAAGATTTGAATTTCTTAGGTACTTTTATAGTACTGTCAATTTACGCAGCGCTTTACATATATATTGTACATTCACATCAGTCCCTAACCCCAAGGGGCATACAATCTAAGGTCCCTTACATTCATACATACATATACAAGGGCCAATATAGACAGAATCCAATTAACCTACCAGCATGTCTTTGGAGTGTGGGAGGAAAACGGAGTACCTGGAGGAAACCATGCAGGCACAAGGAAAACATGCAAACTCCAGGCAGCTGGTGCTGTGGCTGGGATTCAAACCAATGACCCTAGTACTGCCAGGCAGAAGTGGTGACCATTTAGACATTGTGCTGCCCTCAACAAAGGATTGTTCGAATAGTAGATAAAGAACCTTGATCAACTTCCAGAAAATTCAAACTGACCTCCAGGCACAGGATACAACTGTGTCAGCTCACACTATACATCGCCATCTGAATGAAAAGGGACGCTATGGTAGGAGACCCAGGAGGACCCCACTGCTGACACAGAAACATAAAAAAAGCCAGATTGGATTTTCCTGTTTTGTCTTGACCGTGTGCCTGGCATTATGAAATCTGAAGACTACCAAAGAAATCTGGGGTGCAATGTAGGGCCCAGTATCAGAAAGTTGGGTCTCTGTCAGAGGGACAATGGTCCAAAGCACACGTCAAAAAGAACCCAGAAATGGTTTCAGACAAAGTGCTGGAGAGTACTGAACTAGCCAGCAATGAGTCCAGATCTCATTCCCATAGAGCACCTGTGGAGAGATCTCAAAACAGTAGTTGGGAAAATGAACCCTTCCAATCTGAAAGACCTGAAGCAGTTGGCAAAAGAAAATTGGTCCAAAATTCCAGTAAAAAGGTGTAAGAAACTCATTGATGATTACAGGAAGCAATTGATTTCATTTTTTTTTTCCAAGGGGCTTGCTACCAAATATTAAATTGAAGGTGCCAATAATTTTGTCCAGTCCATTTTTGGGAGTTTTCGTGGAATGTTTCAGATTCGGCTTTTTGTTTCTCCACTTTTTTGAGTTATACCAATACAAAAAAGAAATAAACATGAGAATGCCTAAACATTTGTAATTGCAACAATTTTCTGGGTGAAGTGGTGTATTACCTGACAGAAATTCAGGGGTGCCAATATTTTTGGCATGACTGTATAGCAACAACAATTTGCACAGTGCTTTACAACATGAGGGCAGACAGTACAGTTACAATACAATTTAATACAGGAGGAATCAGAGGAACCTGCTTTTTAGAGCTTACAATCTAAAAGAGAGGGTCAGGTGATAAAAAAGGTAATAGCTGTGGGGGGTGAGCTAATGGAGAAAGTGAAAATACAGTTGTTAGGTGGAGGCGGGATAGGCTTCTCTGAAGAGGAGAGTTTTCAGGGATCACCTAAAAGTGGACAGATTAGAAGATAGTTGGGCAGATTGGGGTAGGGAATTCCATAGAAAGAGCGAGGCTAAAGAGAAGTCCTGGAGGCACATGCATGGGAGGAAGTGACAAAGGAGTTAGAGAGCAGGAGGTCTTGAGAGAAACAAAGAGAATGATTTGGTTGGTATTTTGAGACTAGGTTAGTGATGTAGCTGGGGGCCGGGTTGTGGATGGCTTTGTAAGTCTGTATTTTGAATTTAATTTGTTGGTTGAGCTGAAGCCAGTGGAGGGATTTGCAGAGAAGGGTAGAAGACACTGAATGGATGGTAAGGTGAATGAGTCTGACAGCAGCATTCATGATGGACTGAAGGCAAGAAATAACCAGGGAGTGAATTAGGAGCTTTGCAGTGTCATTGGTTAGGAAGGGGTGCATTTTGGAAATGCTGAGAAGGTTGAGATGGCAAACTTTGGACAGTGATTGGATGTGGGGCCGAATGGAGAGTTCAGAGTCTAGGATTAGACCTAGCACCCTGGCATGCAGGGATGGATTGTTGGTTGCACCGTTGATCTTGAGAGAGACATCAGGGGAAGGGGCACAGGGGGGAGGAAATATTATGAGCTCGGTTTTGAATAGACTGAATTTGAGAAAATGGTGTGACATCCAGTCTGATATGTTAGTCAGTAATTTACTGATGCATGAGGAGGCTGATGTTGTAAACTGAGGGGCAGAGGGATCGATGTGGGTGTCATCAGTGTAGAAATACTATTGAAAGCCATGGGAGGCTATCAGTTCAATCAGGGAGGAGGTGTAGATCGAGAACAGAAGAGGTCCAAGAATAGAACCTTGGGGAACCCCAACAGAGAGAATAAGAGGGGAGGATGAAGAATAACTGTATTTGACATTGAAGGTGTGGTGGGTTAGGTAGGATAAGAACCAACAAACAGTACAGTCATCAAGACCAAAGGACTGAAGTTTTATGAGAAGGAGTCGGTTGGTCAATCGTATCAAAGGCAGGCAGAAGGTTCAAAAGTAGGAGTACAGAATAGTGTCCATTGGTTTTAGCTGTTACTAAATTGTTTGTGAGTTTTAGGAGAGCAGTTTCTGTGAAGTGTTGAGAACGAAATCCAGACTGAATGGGATCATGAGGGATCATGTTTGTCTCAGTGAAATGGTTGCTCATTCGGTTTTAAACTAGACACTCAAGCAGTTTGGAGGAAAAGGGGAGCAAGGAGATGGGGCGTAGGCTGTTAAGATTGGTGGGGTTCAAGAAAGGATTTTTAAGTATGGGTATGACTAGTGCTTGTTTTAGAAAGTTGGGAAAGATGCTAGAAGAGAGGGAGAGATTGAAGATTTGAGTTAGAGAGTGTAGGATAGAGCCAGAGGGTGACCGTACTATTTCAGAGGGAACAAGGACCAGGGGGCAGGTGGTTAGGTGGGTGTTAGAAAAAGTTTTTAGCAACCTTGTCTATAGTGTGGGAAGTATTGAGTGTACCTGTGGACATGGAGGTGTTAAGTGGGGGAGATATCTGTAAAGTGAAGATCTGATCACGAATTGAGATTAAAGCCAAGTCAGAAGGCTAGCTGTTTCAAAGCACAGGATAATCAGGGTACAGATCTGGACAGAAGTCACTGAAGAGGATTAGCACTCAGCAATTCCCTTTAGTTCTGTTATGTCTTAAATAGACCATTGGGTGTGAAAAGCACACTAAATCACACATGCACATTAGCAAATACACGTGGATGCACACACAGCCCTGACTCTGTGTACATGGCCACACACATGTTCTTCCTGACACTGCCTTTCCTTTCTGCAGTTATTCTCCACTTCAAGAAAATCCGCTTGCTGACCAGCCCATGCAGCTTTACTGCTACAGGACGGCTGCTCTGTGCAGAATCACGTATACAGTATATAAGTAATTCTGCATTTCCCACAGAATTTGCCGAGCCCGCTCACCTGGCTGTGCTGTGATTTGTCACAGCACATGACGATCACCGTGTCCAGGCCAGTGATTTACTGCTGGCACCCGGCTCTGAGTCTCACAGAACACAGCTCTATGAGAGTAAACAGCACAGAGTTATGTTCCGTGACAGGGGATCTAGTTGGTCTTTCATTCCAGAAAGAAAAAAATATTGTGGTGGTAAAATACCACCAAAAGAAAGCTCTATTTGTTTGAAAAAAAAAGATACAAATTTTGTTTGGGTACAGCGTTGCATGACCACGCAATTGTCAGTTAAAGTAGCGCAGCGCCACATAGCAAAAAGTGGATATTTTTTTTTTTTTAAATTGCAGGGGGTTGGTAACAAAATCATCTGCCCTGAGGATTAAAATACACTAGATACACCACATTATGTATTCCTTTATTTTAAAAAATTTCAGCGTATTGATCATGCTCAGCTGTAGGTAGAATTCTTTTTTAGCAAGTGTTCTCTGAGAACCTGAAAATTATTTCAAGGGTTTCTCTTTCAATCCTCCCCCAGCAGTTACATAAGAGTTTATGTAGAAAAGTGAGAGAAGAGGGGCCAGCACTGACAGTAAGAGGGTAGTTCTGTGATATGTAAGGAGAGAGGGGGTTGTGCTAGGGAATAGACTCTTCCTTAAAAGATAATTCACCTTTTGGACAAAAATAATAAATGCACATTTTTTTGCAGGTACAAAAATGTGCATTTATTATTTTTGTCCAAAGGAGAATGGAAAGCATTGCATCAGTGATCAGTAGATTGCTAATGCTATGCAGGTCTCCTGCAGACTTGTCTGAATATCTGCTAGCCATACGAGATGTACGGCCAAGCAGATATGTGAGATGGGTAAACAGCCTATCATTGTTTGAACACTGTTTGTGTGGAAGTAAATTAATGTTTTGACTGACATTCTGCGGTTTAGCCACAAGATGTCCCTGTTTTTCTAACACAGCCTCAGACTGCATAGATATTTGTATATTCATGAAGAGGTGGGGTTTTGCACACAGAGTTGGAGTTTAGTGAACAGGAAGAGGAGACTGCAGCCATGTTTTGGACGATGCTGAATGAAGGGGCCGTGTGAGCTGAGAATCCGATGAAATCCAGGTGTGAATGTGTCCCTCACTAACCAGAGCTGCAGCTGAGTGAAGCTGATGAGATTGTGGCCAGGAAGCTGATGAGATTGCTGCCAGGAATGCTGATGAGATTGCTGCCAGGAAGGCTGATGAGAGCAGAGAAGCTAAGCAACATATAGGTCAAGACCGCAATTCTTGTTGGAGAGACATTTGTTCTGTTCAGAGTCACCAGCGGACACAAAGCAAAAAACCAGGGTTGGTAAGATCGTGCACGCAGCTCATTTCAGTGTTGGCGCCCTGAGACTGAGTTTAGGTCTATAATTAGTTAGTTAGGGTCTCTGTTTGTGTCAGGTCACAAGTGTTGTTACTGATTATTGGAAGGACTCCACAACTTAAAGTGACATTTCACATTGGAGAGCTGATAAAATCCTACAAACTCAAGCCAGACTGGTGTTTTGCTCAGAAGGAATACTCAGGCACGTGCTACAGGACCAGTTTTGGGAGAGGGAATACTGTAGATATGTGTAAGATTGAAAGCTGTTGTGCTGCACCGCAGGCTAGCCCATACCATACAACCATACACTGATTCCTGCTCTTTTAGGGTAATAACGGGTAAGGGTGTGGCAGCTTATTTGTGACCGCCAGTAGGTAAATTACTTCGCTTTCTACCTTCATCCATCAGAAGGCACCGCGCTGTGCAGCACAAGGGTCTCAGCCTTTGGGTTGGGTGTATGTAAATTTATTGTATGTTTCCAGCATTTGTGGTTGTGTGTATTTGCCATTTGCCACATCTAAGTAAAATTCTGTTGTGGCAAAAGCTGATGTTGGGGTTGCTTTCCTCATTCGTAACTTCACTGTATCCTGGGGAGCCCACCCCGATACATGGCTTACAGATACTCTGACAGGAAGCTTCAAGGAACTACCATGGCCCTCCACAGCTAAGGCTGCCTGGACTTGTAGACACTCATTCACAGAACACTGTGAGCCCGGGTTCACATATATGCGGTGCAGTATATTGCATATGATTCTGTCAGGGCAGGAACGCTGGAATGGGCAGGCAGGCCTATGGTACGGTCACGCTGCGACTGACAACAGCCACTACCCACAGACCAGAGCCCCTCAGGGCGCGGAGTCTAAGCCCCAGGCTACCCTTCACCAGGGCCCCTGATGGTGGGGATGGACTTGACGCAGCCTGAGACCAGGTCGCGGCCGCCGAGTGACCCCAGCTGCGATAACGACTGCCGCCAATGGCGTACAGCTGGTGGGAGCTAGATGGGAACACGAGTAGAGTAGTCAGACAAGCCGGGTCAATAACAACGGAGCAGACAGTACTAGACGGTAGGCAAAGAATACTCAGGTCAGCAACGGAAGGTCAGGTAAAGGGTTAACGCAGAGAGTAGTCTTGTCCAAGCCGAGTCGGTTACCAGGAGAGCAATGGGAACAACACAAGAGCTTGCAACAGGGCAACATACAGGACACAAATGCAAAGCACACTTGCAGACAGCAGGTTTAAATGTGCTCAACCACACCCTTCTGAGGAGGAGCCGCAGAAGCCTGAAGGCATAAAGGTTCCCACCATGCTTTGCAGAAAACCAAGATGGATGCCAGCTCATGGAGATGCACAAGCTCTGAAGAAAGGTAGGACCTTGACAGATTCACACAGGAACCGCACCGCATTCTTGTGCAAATCACATGCGATTTGTGTGCGGTGCGATCGGAGCCATACATTTTGTATAGCTCTAGTCGCACCACACCCGCACCAAAAACGTGTAGGACCCTTTTTTGGGTTCGCACTAGAATCAGATCGCATAGGTATTCACACCTATGCGATCCGATTCTGCACATTGCACCGCGTTTTGAGGACCACTTTCTGGGTTTTGTTAACATACACACCCACAGCGGTTCGCATGAACGGGGTGCGGAATTCGCACAGAAACCGCTGCGAAATTCCTCACCGCATCAGTGTGAACCAGGACTGAATGAGTGACGTGGCTGTGTGGCCAGTAGGGTTGCCACCTCATCCCTTTAAAACCGAACACATATTAACCCCTTGATGCTGACTGTATGCAAATATGTGACCTCTTGGTGGCTGGGCCTTGATGCCAAGCAGCCGCATATTTGCATACCATTTGAAAACACATAGGTACTGAGAGCGCGCTCCCTGCACATATGTCGGTGTCTCACCAAAAGGTCCTGATCTCTCCTTGTGATCGGGACCTTTTCACATCATGTAACCACCATGACAGCGAATCACGGTGGTCACATGACTCTAAAACGCTGCCCCGCCTCCCGTCATCTGCAATCCCTTAAAGGCGCAGGTGTGAAGAGGTTAATTACACAGGTTCTGAGGCCAATTAAATGCAGATAAAGCACTAGGTGAGTTCAATTACCACCTTAATCAGCCACAGAACCTGTGTAATTAATATGTTTTTGGTTTTAAAGGGATGAGGTGGCAAGCCTATAGGGCGGAGCCCCACACGGCTTCGCTGTTTTCAACTCTGACAGATAGTGCGGGGAAACTTCTGCCCATACTATCTGTCAGAGGGAAGGGGACGGTGGGCGCTGCTGTGGCTATGGGAAAATATTACATGTTCCACCCTAAAAATGGGTGGAGCATATAACATTCCCAAAGGTGAAATTATCCTTTAAGAAGTCAAATCTGCTTGAAAGCGCAAAGACACATTTTAAGTGAATAAAAACCTTTATGAAAAGGAAAATCATTCCAAGTAAGCATAGAAGATCTTTGATTTTTTTGTGCTTTTTCCTGCAATTTTTTAAGATGGTGATCTTTGCAGCATGCAATTTATTTTTAATTCCACTCCCTGCGTTTTATCAGAAAGATGTTATCTTTTATGTTATTTTTTTTCATCATTCAAATCAATGAGAATTGAATAACCAGCATGGCCATATCTCTTCCAGTCTGGTTAAATGAGCGTCTTCACATCCCGATAATGATGCAGCCGGACCCTTGAGGATGTTGTGCTTTGTGACTGCGCTGCACTTACTACATTTTAAATGGGTGAGATAATTTTCCTGACGATGAGGTAAGTGACTGGCCTGGCCAGAAGCAAGAAAGGTTACCATGTGATCATTCATGTAAACATAAATACTATTCCTGCGGGACAATCAGAGACAGCTGTGTCTGTTGTTGAGCTGCTCTCAGAGCCTGGTGCAGAGGGCTCTGGGGAATTAACCCACAGTCATTTAGACTGTCTGGCTTCTTAAAGGGTCCAAATTGCTGTGCTGTGTCCCCTAATACTGGACCTTTGTCACATATTACATAACGCACAAGAATGTAGAAGACAGGGGCTCCTAACACACATTTTATTATTAAGATAACTACACTGTGCACAATTGATTCGCTACACCCATTTGTTTCACTTGTTGTTCAGACAGTAAAATGAGGAAAATGTGACTTTGACAGTAGCATGATTGTTGGCAGCAAACAGGGTAGTTTCAGCATCCTTCAAATTACAGACTTCTTGGGACTTTCGCTTTGTAGTTTGCACTCCTGACTTACAGCACTGGGGTCCTCAGCTTGAACCCCAACCAGGACATTACCTGCATGGAGTTTGCATGCTCTCCCTGTGCTTACATGGGCATTCTCTGGGTACTCCAAAGACTAGCGTTGCCACCTCATCCCTTTAAAACCAAACACATTAATTACACAGGTTCTGAGGCTAATTTAATGCAGATAAGACGCTAAGTGAGTTTAATTACCACCTCAATCAGCCACAGAACCTGTGTAATTAATGTGTTCGGGTTTTAAAGGGATGAGGTGGCAACCCTTCCAAAGACATCCTGGTAGATTATTTGGCTCCTGTATAAATTGGCCCTATTGTGCATGTATATACTATATGCATGTAAGATAGGACCTTAGACCGTAACCTCCTTGAGGGTAGGGACTAGGGTTGCCACATCATCCCTTTAAAACTGAACACATATTAATGACACAGGTTCTGTGCCTGATTAAGTTGGTAATTAGATTCACTTAGTGCTTTATCTGCATTAAATTAGCCTCAAAACCTGTGTAATTAATAGGTGTTCGGTTTTAACCACTTAAAGTCTGGACACTTTCACCGCCTTTCAGTCCAGGCCAATTTTCAGCTTTCAGCACTATCACACTTTGAGTAACAATTACCCGTATTAAATTTCTATCCATTTTTTGAGACATATAGAGCCTTCTTTTGGTGGTAATTGATCACCACTGGGTTTTTTATTTTTTTGTTATACAAATAAAAAATCCTGAATATTTTGAAAAATAAATAATTTTTTGCTTTGTTTTTGTTATAAAATTTTGCAATTAGATCATTTTTCTTCAGAAATTTAGGCCAAAATGTATTCTGCTACATTTTTGGGGTAAAAATAATCCAAAACAGTTTATATTATTTAGTTTGTGTGAAAGCTATAGAGTCTACAAGCTATGGGATATATATCTGAAAAATTGATCAGTTGAGATCCTAAAATGCCGGACGCTGGTATGGGGTATGGCGTTGATCAGGACATTAGCATGAGGTATAGCAGTGATCAGGACGCTGGTATGGCAGTAGCCAGGATGCTGTTATGGGGTATGGCTGTGGTCAGGATGCTAGTATAGGGTATGGTGGTGATCAAAACGCTGGTATTGGGGTATGGCGATCAAAACTCTGGTATGGGGTATGGCAGTGATCAGAGCTCTGGTATGGGGTATAGTGGTGATCAGGGTGATGGTATGGGGTATAGCAGTGATCAGGATGCTGGTATGGTATATGGGGTGATCAGGATGCTGGTATGGGGCATGACGGTAATCAGGATGCTGGTATGGTGTATAAAGGTGATCAGGGCCCTGGTATGGTGTGTGGAGGTGATCAGGGTGCTGGTATGGCATATGGCAGTGATCAGGGTGTTGGTTTGGGGTATGGCGGTGATGCTGGTATGGGGTATGGTGGAGATCAAGATGCTGGTATGGGGTATGGCTGTGATCACAATGCTGGTAAGGGGTATACCAGTGATCAAGGCGCTGGTATGGTGTATGAAGGTGATCAGGGCCCTGGTATGGTGTGTGGAGGTGATCAGGGTGCTGGTATGGCATATGACAATGATCAGGGTGTTGGTTTGGGGTATGGCAGTGATCAGGGTGTTGGTTTGGGGTATGGCGGTGATCAGAACACTGGTATGGTGGTGATCAGGACATTTGTATGTTGTGTGGGGGGGTTTTTTATTGTTACTGTGGGGCAGTGATCAGGGACACTGGGGCACTATACTGGGGCACTGGGGTGTCTGGCACTGCAGTGTGCGAGCGTACAAGCAGCCTGACAGGCCGCTGTACACTCACACACTGCAGGATTGCTTCTTTCCTCTCTCACACTGAGAGCAGAGAGAAGCGATCTTTACTGTCAGTGTCCAGTGTTTACTATGTGAGTGCTGTGATTGGTCACAGCAGTCACATGGCAATCAGCACGTCATTGCCTGAACACAGCGGTAATGTGATCCGCTGTGTCCTTGTGACACACCGATCACAGGGCTCCGGGGTGCGCACTCTGTGAGCCGTGCAAGAGCCATCAATGTAGGCTGATGTACAGTAACGTTAGCCCGCTTCGGCGCTGCTTAACGTCCACCGTCTATGTATGGGAAGTGTTTAAAGGGATGAGGTGGCAACCCTAGCAGGTTTCTGATGTGAATGTACTGTAGCACCCTCCTAGGTAGGTGATAGGTTTATGTATTTGGTAAATTTAGTTGTCACTCTGTAGGCAGAGTGACTGCAATTATTGCTAGGTAAAAGTATAGTTAGCTAACTGTACTGAGTGAGCTGTGATCATTTAGTGAGGTCTGCTCTGTGTGCTCAGGTGCTGCTAGTCTGCCTAGCTTCCTCTGTATCCAGGAGACTGCAGAAGTTTCTGGATGATAGGTGTGGAGACACGAATATAGACACAGGCTCAGCCTAACTAGAGAGA